AAATAGTGTCTTTTGACTCTGTCACAAGTAGATACATAAAATGCCCTGCATAAGCCCTCCCCACCCCTTGAAAATTCTATTTCCCCCTTCATGATTGAGGTAAGTAAGTATAGATACTTTCTGAAACAAAAACAATTCACTCTCCACAGATCCACTATGGTGAATACAAGTTAAAATATTTTCTGGAAATATAATATGGCTAAAGATACCTTGATAAGTTGTTTGTAGTAAGAATGTTAAGCAGAGCATTGTTGCAGTGTTGTAGTCTTTTAAGCGCACCAAATAAAGGGAGTGTGTTCCTAGAAACAAATATAATTAGCTTTAAAAAAGTTTACAATTTTATTGATACCCCCGGGGGGGTACTCTTGCCCGTTTAGGGTAGGGATGTGCTGCTGAGCCCACTGAACCCTGACCCTGTTCCAGAGTAAAATCGCTGAAATTCATACCCTGTTCCAGAGCAAGATCGCTGAAAATCATAACCTATTCCGGTATTGCGAAAATGGATACCCTGTTCCAGAGAGGAGAGAGAATGATTTCATATACCCTGTCCCAGAGCGAGCGTGATTTTATATACCCTGTTCCAGAGTAGAATCCTTGAAAACCATACTCTGTTTGGCGGCAGGTACCTGTATAGCGAATATAGGGGAGTACTCTCCCCCCCACCCCCCCCCCCCCCTGTTGATACCCTGCCTATGAAACAACATCTGGGTTGATCGAAGTCAGGGCATCACAAACTCACTACAAATAAATTGGAATTTAACACTTAAGTTTTTTTTATTATTCAAAGATATTGACTCTCTGTGTCCTCTCCAAGAGCTAGGCTCATCGTGGGAGATTACACAGTTAACAGTAATTACAAGGTTTCTGGAGGTTTAGGAAAAATATAAAAAAAACGTTTAACATATTAACAAAAAAAAAAACATAAGAAACACTTGAGTTTTGCGGAGGAAGGAAAGCAAGAGAACCCACTCTTTTCTCTGAAGGAGCACAGTTTTCAACCAATCAGAGGCAGTAGAGCTAGAGGTGACTCTCTATATAATGACCAGATTTTATTTGTTGGCATATTCCATGGAAGATTTCTCCTTTTACTTTCAATTATACCCCAACTAGAAGTACCCAAGGTCAGTGTGGACTGTTTGCCTGCTGCTCCTTTGTCTTAATTCACAACTGAAACAAATGATTGGGTAGCATGGGTGGCGTAGTGGTTTACTGTCCACCTCTCACAGCTGTGGTCCACGTTTGAGCTGTGGCTTGTTCTGGATTGTATGTGAGTTGAGAGAGTTTGTTTGATGTTTTGTTCTCTCACTTGCCACAAAGGTTTTTCTCCAGGTTCTCCGGTTTTCCTCCCTCCGTATAAATCAACATCAGATGTCAGTTGAGTGTTGTATGTTGTAAATATAGAATATAGTGGTGGTGCGTGTGGAGCAAACCTCGTGAAAGAGTGCCGTACAGGTTGTAAAATATATCAAGTTTAAGAACAATGTTTGACTTACGTGGTATTCAGGTTGTGTTGATCTGGTAATATCCAATATACATTGATTACTGCACCTTCTGCAAAAATAAAATGTCAAACATAACAAAATAACAAGACAATCAACCACTACTCAATTGACTCAGTTAATTAAGCATCAGCCTCTTGTGCAGAAGGTAATGGGTTTAAAGATCTGTGGCAGACTAATTCTCAGGTTCTTAGACATCTGAGTAGAAGGGTGCTGTAACTTTGGCTCTAGAAATATCTGCAAATGTTCAGAACTTTTTGTTGTGATAGCCTGCTCCACATGCTACTCAATATTTATTCACCAGAAAGTAATTGGGATTTATTTGTTAAAATATATGGCATAGAAGAATTGAGGATGAGAGAGGGAGTGCGAGCAGGCTAGTGTGTTGGATATAACCACCATGTACAGTGTACATGTAAAATGGTGGTCCCATACCATTTCATTGACACTTAATCCACATGGCCCTTCATGATGAAAGCACTGGTGGCGTAGCGGTGTCAGCGCTCGCCTCTCATCAATGCAACCTGAGTCCGAGTCCCACCGGGTTGGGTGTTGTATATGAGTAGAGTTGTTTGTTGGTTCTCTCCTGTGCTTCAAGGGTTTTCCGGGTTCTCCGGTTTTCCTCCCTCCGCAAAAATCAACTCCTAAATTCCAATTCGATCATGGAATGAGGGCCACAGGTTTGTTAGCCACTGGCTATTAATTGCTACCCTAGTGAAAAAAGGACGTTATGATGGCTATTAAAATGCTGTAATTTTTTGCCCTACTACATGTATGGCAATTTCTTCACATGCCTTTTATAGGTAGAAGATCTGCAAGATGATGAATATGATCAGCAGTATCATCATCATTGTTGTAATCATCATCATCATCATCACTGGGTGTATCACGATTTTTGACAGCTGAATGTTTTTGGTCTTGAACACTTTGAACAAAGTTGATATAAAAATGTTAAGAAAAGAAAGCAATAGGGAAGATGTATCATAGATAGCGATGAAGTAATGAGATCAAACAAAGAAAAGGAGAATGAAGGAAGGAATAAATGAAAAGAAAGAAAGAAAAAGGGAAGAAAAAGGTATGGAAAGAGAATTGAGAGAAGGAAGGAAGGAAGGAAGGAAGTAATGTACAGTAAGGAAAGAAGAAAGGAATGCCAGTTATCATACCCATTATTATTGTCTTGTCTAGAAACCAACTGCTTAATGATACTTTGTATCTGTAAGAGTACATCATCATCATCAGCAGCAGGCAACCAATCAGAATTGTTCAAGATATCATGTGACTTGCCATCTGGATCCATTTCCTGAACAAAATAGTTTAAACTAAATTATGCAAATGATGGAAGTAATGAAATTTGATAAGGATATGGAAAATATGTCACAGAGATCAGTCTTTGTTTCACAATAAAACATATGTGTCTATATAATAAGCTGAAGGTGAAGTGATTATCAATTGGTGAATATTTACTGAGCCGCAAGTCTTTGAGCGGCAAAGGTGAAATTCAAGATAAAAAAAGCAAACTTTGGAAAACCTCATAATCACCGCTCGAGCAGTGAATATCGTCTCAGAATCACTGGTTGCTCGACCAATCACAGCGCTAGAAACTCTATATTCAAGGGTAAAATTATACTAAAGAGTAAAATATCCACCTGTAACTCAAGCTGAAGCTGCTGAGAACAACTCAATGCAAAGTAAATTTGATGCCTGCTTTGAATGAAGGTTAACAGAGGATCTAGAAAATATAGAAAAGAAAAGAAATAAATAAAAGTTATTAAGCTTATGACAAAAATCATTATCAAATAATGTAGTATGCTGTTGTACGTCCCTGTACGTGAAGGGAAATAATTCAAAATACCTTCTGGATAGCTTTCCTCATTTTGGCAATTATTTTCTTTTCTTGCTCGAAGTATTTGATCAGTTACGATATCAAATCCTTTCTGTAGCTCTACGTTGAAACCGTGATCTATAAGGAAAAACAGACTTCTTTCAAAGATAGCCAATTTATGTACATGTACGGCTTTTCGAATTCGGAAGACCATATTTTATGAGTGAATTTACACAGTTTTCCTAAGCTAAGTCCACACTATGCCGGATAAATTTGAATCCGAATTACCGTCCACACTAGTCCGGGCGAATCCGAAAACGAATTTTTTCGAATACGGTCTCCAGAGTGGAACAATTTGAAAACGCCGGCTAGCCGTATTAGTGTGGACGGAAAATTTTTTTTCGGTTTCGGTGTGAAAATTCGGATTCAAATTTATCCGGCATAGTGTGGACGGGGCCTTAGGAAAACAAGAGCATTTTCCGGGTTCATTTTTATAGGAACACCAAGGAGAAACACTCACCTAGCTTTTCATTATTCAGACCAGTACCAAGTAATACTAAAAAATACTGATCCATAGCGAAAACATTACAATATTATTGTTCAGATTTTTCAACGACAAGATGTCTTCTTCTCCAAGTTCGATGATTGAAAATTTGGCGGGTTTTAGGTAGCACCGCAGGTCAATACACTAAGGGCGCGATAACAATTATTGACGTTCTGGGAGGTACTGCTTTTAGAAATTTGTAATTAATATTTATATTCATTATCAAAAATAGAATAAAAAGTTAAAGATGCAAAGCTTTAGGTAATTGGATAGCAAAACTAAGAAAAGTAGACAAACTAATAAAAAGAGAAATGATACAGCAATAAATCTTTAATTTCGTACAAGGACAAATGAACTGTGGGTCCCCTCTCTAATAGTTTTTGTTTGTCTTACGGTCTTCTCTCGGTTTTAAGATGGCGGAAGTCCTTTTAGAATTTTCTTTTGAAAAAACCTCCTCTGATCCCAAAGAAAGAGGATGTCTCATCATAGGAAGTGTTCTAAATTTCTCTATGGTCACGTACGACAATTTTGCGGAGAAATTACAGCCATCGGTTGATAGTAAGGTAAGTAAATTAGGTAGTTAAACTCGATAAAAAAGTCTTTAAAAATGCATTGAAGTATCTAAAGTGGATTACGCCTTTTAGTTTCTTGGCGTCAAAAATGCCAAGAAAACGTTTTGTCTGATCTGCAATAATTATGATTAGTTGTTTGGTAAATTAAGGTAAGCTAATTATGTGGGGGGAACTGCAGTGCTGTAAGTTTTTGGAATTCGTTGTCTACATATAGCTGAGCAATGTCAAATTATTCTGATTGATCTTTTTTCCAGACATTCAATCTTGTGCTGAGGTCACTTAGTGAGTCAGATTCCTGTAATATCTGGTTAAACCAGGTTGTTGCATGTTCATTGCCATCCAATGCTAGTCGTCACAACTCGCCATGCCATCCACATGTCTTAAAGAGCTTAGTCAAGTCATACTTGCCGGCCGGCAATGCAGTGATAGTGGTGAGTAGCTGGAGTAAATGACATGATGCTTTGGCACATGCCTCAGATGGTACCTGGAAAAGTTATGCAAGTATTTGATTGCATGTTACATCATCAAGGCCTCTTAGTGATGCTATGTGCATGCCTCAGACGGAACCTGGAAAAGTTATGCAATTCTTTGATTGCATGTTACATCATCAAGGCCTCTTAGTGATGCTATGTGCATGCCTCAGACGGTACCTGGAAAAGTTATGCAATTCTCTGATTGCATGTTACATCATTGGGGCCTCTCGGGACGGGGGGGGGGGGGGGGACTCTTGGTAAAATGTACTGGGGATGCTCGTCATATCTCTTAGGGGTAAAAATTTGCGATTTGGTATCTTTTAGGGTGTTAAACGTGAATTTTTGAAAATCAGCATTTTCTGGTATCTCTTAGGGTCTCGGAAAAGGAGAGAAGCGTGCATCGATATGGCTTTTTAATATTATTAGTTGTGGTATCTCTTAGGGTCTAAAAATCATTCAGCCACGCCCTTCTTTAAAGACTTCCGGTATCTTTTAGGGGCCTTTTTGAAAATTTCTGACGAGCATCCCCGGTACTTTTTTCCCGGAGTCCCCCTCCCTTCCCCCCGGGGGAATGTGTGTACTTGTTCTGTCTTACGTACTGTAGTTAGCTTCTTTGCCAGGGGAGCAAAAACTCCAGGAAAACTCAAACAATAAATAAACTGTTCCATAAACAGTGTATATAAATAAGCTAGATTGTTTTTCTTAATGGCTTGAATTTATACCGGAAGTCAGAATAGGTGGAGCATGCACATATCTGACGACCTAAGATCTGGGTCTACCAAGGCGCTCTTTGGTAACAGCTTTATGCTGACGAGCTTACCCTGGCAAAACATGTAATTATTATTATTATTGTGTGTAACCAGAGCCTTGGATTATTTGTGAGAAGGGTCTGGGTAAACTACCTATATATCATCACAGCCCAGAAATTGTTTAATTGATTTAGCTAACCTGATCTGCCCACAGGTTGTTTCATGGTTTGATAACAATGAAGTTTTTTATACAAGATTAGATAAGTCTTTTGGCTCAGTTATTACCAGCAGTTTTATAGAAAATGTACTTTATTTCTTCTTAGGTTGTTTGTGAAAAGAAAGATGTTTTTGCTAGTGGTTGTGCCATTGCCAGGTGTTTTCCTCTGTTCTCGCTCAAGACAAACTCTTCTGCCAAACAGTCAAAGAAAATTACTGTTGAATTTGTAACCACTGATGGCCAACAAGTAACAGATGATGATATCAAATGCTTGACAAGTACTGCTGAGAGTATTCGCTTGGCTGCAAAAATTGTTGATATTCCTTGCAATATTATGCATACGGACAATTTTCTTGAGGTGAGCATGAAGAAACAGAAAATGCACATGCATGTTGATGCAGCTATAAAGCATGTGGGGGTTGGCAGAACACAAGAGAAATGTTAGCAGAAGCATGACTTGTAGCAGAGTACTTCTCAAGACTTCTCAAGTGTTCTGCCTGAATCCCTAAGTGCTTTATGACTCCACACAGCACAACAAGCAAGTTATTTTATTTTTTATAAATAAGATTAAAATTACAATGACTGATACTTTGAATAGGAATGACGCAACTGAAAGGGCGCACACTTGCTGTGTGCTCTCACAAAGCATGCTCTTCTAACCAATCAGAAGGCGATATTTAAATTATAACCATTATTTTATAATGGTGATTAGCAAAGTTTGACAGAAAAAAAACATCATTAAGTAAATAATATAATGTATGTTCTTTATAGTATAGTTCCATATTTGCAATCATGGTGTTGGCAAGGTATTTACCTATTGACATGCATACCCTACCTACCCAACTGATGACATCCCAATACTATTTAGTGGTTCAAATATGAAATTAAAACTGGGTTTTTGTTCTCAAACTAGTGTAAATTTTCACTACCGTTATTTCTGTTTCAAGGAGTTTCAAAGATTCAAATAAAGCAAAGGCACTTGAACTGTGAAATTAAATCAAACTAGTTACTAACAAATAGTCACTATTAAGAGACTAATAGTCGTTATCACTGATCAACCAGAACAGTTTACATGACAAAAAAAGGAATACACAAGAGACCATGAAATACAAATATGTTTTTTATCTAGTTTTATTATAAGCAAATTCATTAGAGTGTTCATATAAACTCTTCTGGTTCGGTGATAATGACTATTAGTCTCTGAATAGCGACTAATAGCGACTATTTGTTTGTAACTAGTCGATTCTATTTCACAGTTCAAGTGCCTTTGCTCTATTACAGAATGTTAAATGAGTGGTGAAAATGCCTTTAAGCTGTGATTTGACTTAATGGAAGATAGTTCTTTTGTAATCTTTTATGAACAGGAAATCAGGAAAGTCGGCAAAGAACTTGGAATTGAGCCTACTATCATCCAAGGAGAGGAACTCAGAGAGAGAGGATTTGGAGGTTAGTTAAATCATCAGACCTTAAATTGGGCTTTGGTAAAAGGCAAGTGCTCTCTCTGCTATGTCATTTATATGTTTGCTTTCATGTTTAGACTTTGGCTGCAGTGGCAAAATCATAGATAGAAAAAATAAAGGATTTCTAGTTACTACGATACTTACTATTTTAACATTTTCTTCAAGGTATTTATGGAGTAGGGAAGGCAGCCATCCATCAACCTGCACTGGCCATTTTGAGTCATACTCCTAAAGATGCCACTCGTACATTTGCTTGGGTGGGTAAAGGGATTGTGTATGACACTGGTGGACTTTCAATCAAAGGCAAGGTAAGGTAACATTAAGGAACTGTAGAGGGGAGGGGTGGGGTGCTGTAAGGTAAGGCACTAGTGTATGACATCAATCAAGGTGTTTCCATTTCCATGAGTGCGTGCCTCTTGCAAACTTCATGTTTTTCGACAATGTCATGGAGACACTTTGATACACATCCACCAAGACGTACTTTGCCATAATGACGATTCCCCTTATTTTTATTACAAACGAGTATGGAATTCAATACTTTGCAACAAAACAAACTATCAAAAGGTTCTTGCATGGATTCAAGTGTTTCTTGCTGTCATGTAATTCTAATAAAATGATGCAAAACTTTTTCTTACCACAGACTGCAATGCCTGGTATGAAGAGGGACTGTGGAGGAGCAGCTGCCATCTTGGGTGCATTTAGAGCTGCAGTCAAACAGGTAATGTGTAGTAACGTGATCGCCGCACTTACCATCACATGTAGGTAGACATACTTGTTGGTTCTCTCCTGCCCTTCAAAGGTTTTTCACTCATCGATTCTCCAGTTTGCCTCCCTCTATAAAAATCAATTTCTAAATTCCAAATCATGGAACGAGGGTCACAGGTTTGTTAATCACAGCCCGGGGGTAATCTTGCCCGTTTAGGGTAGGGATGTGCAGCTGAGCCCTCTGAACCCTGACCCTGTTCCAGAGTAAAATCGCTGAAATTCATACCCTGTTACAGAGCAAGATAGCTGAAAATCATACCCAGTTCCTGTATTGTGAAAACAAATACCTTGTTAAAGAGAGGAGAGAGCGTGATTTCATATACCCTGTCCCAGAGCGAGCGCTATTTTATATACCATGTTCCAGAGTAAAATCGCTGAAGACCATACCCTGTTTGGCGGCATGTATCCATATAGCGAATATAGGGGAGTACCCCCTGGGAATCACAGGTTATTAAGTGCTACCCTTGTAAAACGAAGACAATTTTATTATGGAACCATTATCAATTATGTATTAACATCATAATTTCCTGGTAAATCCTTGTCCAGGGTTTCAGGGAGAATCTCCATGGTGTCTTCTGCCTGGCAGAAAATGCTGTTGGTCCTAATTCAACAAGGCCTGATGATATCCATACATTCTATTCTGGAAAGTAAGCATGAATACCCATGTAACTTGATAACTTTTCTTTAGTATTCATTGGTCGAGGAACAACAATTGAAGACCTTTTCCCTATAAATCAGATTAGATCAGATTCAATTATTGTTCCTGCCTCCTGTCATGGCTGCCATCACAAGATGGTGCAAATCTTCTATAGACCCCTTGCAGCCCTTTGGAATGTAGCTAAATCTGGGGGACATAACAAAAGGGTCAAATTCTCAGGAGATTGAAATTCATTTGTTTTGTCCTCCAAATTTGAGCTGCTTTGACGTCTCATGCAATGGGTCTATAGGATTATATTAATTAAAATTAACATTTATAGAATTGTTTTTGCCAATGATCCACGTCGTTCTCACGTTTTGGCTTCCATGTTGACTAACTTTATTAAGATTGGAATCTTGATATTTTGAAACATTTTTTGGAACAGAACAGTGGAGATCAACAACACGGATGCAGAGGGTCGGCTTGTTCTAGCTGATGGGGTGAGTCACAATACTATTCATACTAAAAGACCTTTTGCAACAAACAGTCACGTGCTGATATATCGCTTTGATAACGAATCAATTCAGCCAAAGGTTACTTGGGGAAGGCTCTGCTGGATGGCCAAAAAAACTTTATATGTTATAATGGAAAAAAGTATTTTTGAAAAGGTTTTGGATACAACATTAGTTATGCAGCAAAAAAAGGAAGTCCAATTTTTTTGACATTCCGTAACAATCATGTGTCAATCTATTGCAAAAGGCCATTGGCACTATTTGACTTTCACTATTTCAGCTGACGAAAAATCATGCATGCTCAAAGCCAAGTAAGGCTCAGATTTCCTGCCAATAGACCTCCTCAGTTTGGACATAATGTTTTCCCATTTCAGACCATGTCTCATTTCCTAGAGTATCATTTCTTTGTTTAACAGTTGTGCTTGGTTGCACATGAGAATAGATCCCTTGCATGTGACGTCAAAGCAGCTCAATCTGGGGGACAAATTAAAAGAATTCCAATCTCCTGGGAATTGAAACCTATTATTTTGTGCCCCAGATTGAGCTGTATTCCAAAGTGCTGCAAGGGCTCTAAACACATGAATATGGAGACACCTCAAATAAAGAATGTTATTATCAAGGGAATGACAAGTGGTCTGAAATGGGTAAACATTACACCCAAGCTGAGGAGGTCTATTTTTCAGATTCCTGGACCGAAAGATTTTCTTTAGGATTCATGAAGACACTTTGATATGACCAATGCACCTTTTACCATTTCCAGGTATACTATGCCAGGAAGGACCTCAAAGCTGACGTGGTTCTGGACATGGCGACCCTGACCGGGGCCCAGGGTATTGCTACGGGGAGATACCATGGAGGATTGTTGACCAACAAGGAATCATGGGAAATAGCTGCTGTCCAGGCAGGACGCAAGAGCGGGGATTTGTTGGTAAAGAAAGAAAAACCATTGTGTTTTTAGCAAATTGAAAACTCGTTGTGGTGTTATATTTACTACACCTTTTGCCGTTCATTAACAGAAAATGTACATTCATTTGTGCCAATAGTTGTATCAATAACGTGTAATGTACTTTCATCAACACCACAAGTAACATCATTAGCGCGGATCAACTTTCAATAACGATATTTGAATATGCGTGTACATTCATGGACATCAATAGAGAATCAATAGCGCGTTTGTACATTCATATGCGCTGAATGTATTTTCTTGTGCGCGCAATTAAGCTTCAATAACACGAATTAGCACTAATGAATTTTCACTTTTAGGTAAATGATTGTCAATAAACGCAATTGTTTGTCAATTCGTGTTATTGAAGTTATTGATTGTCCATTGATGCATTGTAATCTGAAATGGGAAAGTGAACACTACGCCCAAGCTAAAGAAGTGTATTTTATGACACAATGTCAATCACCACATGCATCCGATCCACCCTTGCAAAGTGTAATGCCTTTCACACCTAACATATCAATCTACTTCTTACGTACAGCATCCTCTGCCATACTGCCCTGAACTTCATTTCTGTGAATTTTCAAGTGTCGTTGCTGACATGAAGAACTCTGTTAAGGTAACTTGTGAGATCATGTGAGATATCTGCATTGTAATACGAAAACCACCATGGAGTCTAACGCGAATAAAGTTCGAACCATATGCTTTGGGAATTTCAGGACGGAGCAAATGTCAAGAAAAGGCATTCCAACATTGGTTAAATTTGATCACAGCTCTACTTACAGTGCCATTACTATAACCGGGGCCACTTAGACAGCAAGAACCAATCAAATTGTGGAACAAAACAATGCATTCCGACTTTGGGTAGTGGAGCCAATCAGAAATCAGCAGAAAACAATAGCCTTTCACGACATATCTTTTTATTTTCACGAGAAAATGACGATCGCTCTCTAGTTGTTTACACGTAACATCAGATTCCTGTGCATTCTAGGTTGCTGATTGGCTCCACTACACAGAAATGGAATGTATTGTTTTCATTCGACATTTTATTTGATGGAGTACTTTATTGTTTCAGAATCGTGACAACGCACAGAGTTCTTGTGCTGGACTGTTTATCGGTAGGTGATGTTAGAGCCCTTAAGAGTGGTCCTTCAGCATGTATAAGTTGAAACAGATGTTCCACTAGGGGTAGGGGTAGGAACTAATCTCTCCAAGTATGTGTGTGTGGGATGGGGGGAGACTAATCTCTCTAAGGGGGGGGGGGGAGGGACTAATCTATCTAAGGGGGGAGGGGTAGGGA